TACGAAATGCAGTTCCAAACTTCACACTAACTTCCCACTTGAGTAATAATAATTGTACTTATAAAAGTACGTATTTTTGATTGCGTGGTTTCTTGTATCATTAAACGTCGTGTTGTTTTGTGTATTATTTGGTGTTCATATCTTATTTGTCCAGAGAAAAGAAACTTTGGCTTTCTTAATTGGTTGGTGCCCGCCACGATCTCATAAACTCTCAAATGTGCTCGTAGGCACAAAATTGTTGGGGACCACTGCCTCACAGTATTAATGCAAGAATAAGTATACAAGTTAATTGAAATAATCGCGGCAGAAGTAATTTGAGTGATTATCACTTTTCTAGGCCTCTTTAAATTCATTTTAAAGCAACATTTCAAAAATATTCATGGCTGTCTTCTTTGGCAGACTCACATGCTGCTGGTACTGAAAGGTAACTTGTCACAATTTTTGCAGACTTGAAGTCCTGAAGACTGAAAATTCCAACATTGGCGAGTATGAAGTTGTACGTTTCATCAGACATGAAGTCCTGAAGACTTAAAATTCGTATAGTGGCGAGTATGAAGTTGTACGTTTCAGACGTGAATCGTCGGTCAGTTTCTTCCAGATTACATGGCGCAAATCTGTATGGAGTTACTTCTAAAAAGCTCTGGAAATGGAAAGAGTATGTTTCCCCGAAACGTTGGTGTCCGTGTAATGGGAATTATTATTAAAAATCGTTATTGAAGCAGTGTTAGAACAAAACAAACCTTCTCATATTCGTAATACGTTAGAATAAGCAAAATATAGACATCCGTGAGAGGAACTACATATCTGTTTTAAAAACAAGCAATTTATATAATGCGATTTATTGAGTTTCAATTTGTGTCATAATATACACATTGCTTCGGAATTGTTGGACAAATGTAGTATTATTGCTTAATGTTTTGTAGTATGCAATGAACTGAAATTTTATAAATGACTTAAGTTGTTGGAAATATATGGAAACTGAGCATATAAATTTGGGTAAATTAATTACTAACCCACTGCTATATAGATATAGTTGGCTGTTATATTATTTCAGCTTTAGAACTATGTATTTGAGCTTTAATTAAGAAGAAAGTAATATATATAAAAATCCTTGCCAAACTCGACGATGTTTCAATATTATCATTATTCTAAATCTTTGGCACTGGGTGCATCATGTAGCTTTGCCTGCAAACATATTTACTAGAAAGGGAAATTTTTACAAGAGGAGAAATTCTAACTCTGAGAAGGGGAATGCACGTTCTGCGACTAGCTGCCGTAGAGAATTTAGCGACTGTACAGTGGTTGCAATAAGTGGGTAGTTGTTGATAATGTCAGGTTGGTTGTCGTGGACGTGTGACAAGAAACTACATATATATGTGGAACCACGTTTTGTGTTATTGTAATGCGAAATTTTGTAACACTAAAGTTGATTTACTGTCAGTATGTTTCACAAGCATCAGCTTTTCACGTATTTTGCATCGTAAACTTCATGTGATGTCAAATGTTGACTGCCAGTTGTCTACGTTATATACAAACAATACAATGAATGTAGCTGAGAAATATGTGTGTTGCATAATGCAGGTGGTGAGATGATTCTCAAGTGGGTGATGTAGCTCATTGTGTAGATACCCATAATTGTGTAATGTAAGTGTTCAATTGCTAGATCAGAGCACAAAGCTCACATGGTCATGGATAAGACACTAATTTCACATCTGAGTGATCAAACTGACACACGAGACATGCATTGTCTTGATACTGACAAGAACTGCCACACTAACATTGATGAGAGAAGCAAATTGCTTGCTGTACCAATTGCTAGGCGAATTGATGGCGATGACTGTTCATCTGTGGGCTCCAAAGAAGGACTTTTCAATGTTCGGGCCATCTTCTTCCTAGTTTTGTGGTATTTCTTCAGTGGGTGTACTTTATTTCTCAACAAGTACATTTTGTCATATATGAAAGGTGATCCAACAATCTTAGGTATGTTTGTATTCTTTGGGACTTACCATGTTGTATGGGTCATGTCACTCAGGATGCCCAACTTCAGGTTTTATATCTCAAATTGCCTGATGAAGTTGGAGGAAATTTTGCTGAGGTTTTATGCACAAAGTTGTTGGGTGAATTTAATTTTTATTTGCATCAGTCCATTATTAATTAACTCCATGGAGGAAAATCCATATTGTGATAGTTGCTGAACTGATGAAGAAGTTCAGCATTTTTAATAGATCCGAAGATTCAATACCATGGTGAAGAAAACTTCTTTGCCACTACTGGAAATTAAAGCTCACTT